AATTCTTAGAAGACCTTCTAACTCAGTCTCAGATGCTTTCTTTTCTTGATATAATTTTAGCACTCTCTTAATATTATGGATCTGTTTTGCTATGTTTTCTATTTCTCTGTAATTTCTTTTGAGGTTTCTTTGATTTCTAATTTCACATGACTGTTTTCTTGTTTTGTTTTATCTATGTGTTCATCTATCACGTGTCTTTTTTAATATTTTTTTTGTTTATATTCCATTACGTGTTGTGATTTGTGTGTAACTAAACAGATCTATGCAACAGAATCAAATACAATCCTCCAAAAATACTTGCAAAAGAGGAAAAATTTTACATTTCTTTAAGTTTTTCTTCTATAACTTCTTTGTTAGAGGCTTTGAGGCCTTAGCCTCCTAAGAGACTATAAGCTTCTCTTTGTTCTTTTCTTTTTTCTTTAGAGCTAAAAGTATTGTTTTTTAGACTATTTTTCTTAAAACTTAAAGTTTTTCTTTTATGTAAATTTGTGTACAGAAGATCAGCAGGAAGAGTCTGATATTAGCAATATTCAAAATTACTTCATTTCTTTAAAAAGTTAATAATAAACTTATCAAATAATTTTAAGTCATTTTCTAATACTATTATTAATAGCTTTAGGCTATGCATACCTCTAGTGAGATCATTATTTTTTTAGTTACTTGATTAGCTAAAATTTAAAAACTATTTAATTGTAATAGTCACTTAAATTAATAGCAATAATTAAAGTTAGTTCTAGTCTAGTCTTAGTTCTAAAAACTTTAAATTCTAATATATAAATTTTAAACTAGGTTTTTACTCTAGTTCTAAACCTAAGTCCAACCAGGTTCAGTCAAGACAAAGTTCTAGAACCGGTTCTAAATAACTATTCAACTAATTATAATTTACTATATAATTAGCTAAATTAAGATTTATTATATTATAATATAAAATTATAACGATTAAGTTAGAATTACCGTTACACATACTATCGAGTAACATCATACGAATTTTTTATTAGTTAATGTGATTTACTATTCATACATTTTATTGGTCAATATTATTTAATTTTAGTGAAAAAATTCTTCCAGTGGGAAATCCTACTGGAACTACTGGAAGGCTGGAATAATTTGGTCTTCCAGTGAGATTCCAGAATTCCACTAACAACACTGATCTCGATCACTATCCAACCACATTGAGAGAGTTGCTTGAGAACACCTAGAATCTGCCGATTTTTTGTAATTTCACATCTTGATCCGCAGAGAGAACACCTTTCATAATGGTGGCAGGTTTCTCTCTGCGGAACTCATATAGAATCGGAAGATAGTAGATTTGTATAGTATTGCATTGCTAAGAGTGTTCTCAAACAACTCAATGAAATTTGCTAATGATAGAGTTATTGCTCAATCATTGCGAATTTAAAATTCAACAATCAAAAATTACCTATATGAAAAAAATCGGTGTTTTTATCTCCAGGTTTTTTTCAATTTAAATAACAAGAACGATCAATTTATCAGTCAGTATCAGTCAGATAAACTCATTGAGGGAAGCGTTTGCCAAATATAAAGTCCTTTAATATGTTTACTATAATTCTTTATAAATTTTAATATCGATATTGTTATTTTAATGTACAGTATAAACAAAAATGATAATTAATAAGTATAATAAATAAAATAGCGGATAAAAAAAATCTACTTTAAAAATAATGTAAATAAATAATAAATTCAAAGTAAGAGGAAAGCCATTTACCCATATGCGAAGGAGCTTACTCGTTGTCTCAACCTTAAGGCTCTCTATAGATGGTTCATAGTCAAGGTCACGCTACCGGATATCTTAAATATTAATCCATTAACGTTAATCAATTTTATAATTCGGTTATCCGGGTAACCTAACAGTTAACTGGTTACAATACCTTAGGGTACGATCACTAGACCTAGTTAAGTATATTACCGAAACAGTGGTCAGATTTATCGCATTGTTTGGGACGTTTGGGCTCATCAGTCACTTCGCGTACAGGCCATAAAAGAAATGTACATATCTAAACTCTAAACTTGGGATCGATTCATATTTGTACTTTATAGCTGTTTGCAAAAAGATTCGACCCACTGCAGGTCACGATGTCATACGTAGAAAATCTACGAATTCCCCCAGATTTTTCTTAGATTTCTTAGTGCCTTAGCACCAAAAAAAAATCGGAGGATAGTAAATTTCCTTAACACCGTGACCTACAATGGGTCACACCTTTTTGCAAACAGAGATAAAAAGGTGCAGTTATAAAGGAATAGTGTTATTAGATAAATAGAGAGATTTTATCAGTTGTAAAATATAACTTTTAAATTGTATCATTATTTAATACACGTATAGCCTTTAAAAAAATTAATTTAAAAATAAAATGAGCAAAAATACATGTATTAAGTCTATCTCTGTGCAAATAATTTGAAAATTAAAACGTATAGTAAATTATATATATATTAATTAAAAAAAAAATGCAAATATGCAGAATACATCCAATTAAAGTGATTTTCTAGTAATATCTTAAAAAATATATAATAGATCTAAAAATGTTTATACATTCATTATTTATTTAATCCACTTTCGGTAATGGCATGTTCTTGCATGACAGTGCTATTATCTACGCTTTTATTAATCTTTTTCTTATTCTTTGGTAAATTTCGTAATCGATTGACGCCTTGAACAAGATGAACTGCTCTTTTAAATGCATCTTTTGGTGAAAGGTTTTTTCGTACATTATCGAGAAGATTAACATCTGCTGCTGAATGGAACCAACTATGTTGAAGTGCTTGCTTTGCTGTGATTCTATCTAGCGGGTTATAACATAATAATTTGTCAACCAAATCTATAGCTATTGCATTAATAAAAAGGATAGGTTTGTTAAAATAATCCAATAAAATTTAGCTTCGAATAAAGAAAATAAGTGCATACCATCCTTAGATATTTCACACCAATCTTCATCTTCATATTCATATTGTCCAGCCATGATGGATTGAAGTAACTCGGCTTGATTTTCACCATAAAATGGAGGATATCCACATAACAAAGTATAAGTGATCACACCAACGCTCCAAAGATCTACTGGCTTATTATAACCTTTTTGCAAAAGAACTTCTGGAGCTACATATCTGTTAAAAAAATAAGCAATGAATTATTTAATTATTTTATGTAAGATTTGTTCGTAAAATTGACTTACCCTGGAGTACCACAAGCTGTCATCAAGATATCATCATTTTTTGTTAAAATCTTGGAAAGTCCAAAATCTGTAATCATAAGTATTGAATCTTCTTGTTTATCTTTAAAAAGAAGATTTTCTGGTTTCAAATCTCTGTGCACGATCTAAATTAAATCGGGTACAAATCATGGATCATTGAATATATGTGTTATAAAAATATTAAATTGTTGACCTAAAAGACTTTCTCTCAGAAAACAATACCTTACATCGTGTTCGTGTAAATATGCTACTCCCTTTAAGATATGTTGTACCAGACAGGCCGCATCTTTTTCTGTGTAAGAGCCTTTCAATACAAGTTGATTAAACAATTCTCCACCTCTTGCAAGATCTGTTACAATAAAAACTCCTTCTTTTGTTTCATATAAATCATGTAATTTTATAAGGTTTTCATGCTGAATTTTTTTGAGAATTTCAAGTTCGGTGGTAAGCATATCCTCTTTTCCTTCTAAAAATATATTTGATGAAATTTATTATCATCTCCTGTCAGGGTCAGATGCTGCATATGCATTATTTTAAAATCTTTATACGATTCTTACTTTTTATAGCCTTTTTCGAGATAATTTTCAACGCATAATTCTCTCCTGTTTCTTTATCCGTACATTCTTTTACAATAGCAAAGGAACCGACTCCAAGAACATTATTTGAAACTTTATATCGTTGTTCAAGTTGTGATGGATACGAAATTCCATTTTTTTTAAATACTCCAAATATCTTTAACATTTTATATATATTTTAGATTATATTGAAATATAAAAATTGAATGAGAATTCAATGATAATTTTTTGGCTGAATTCGTTCTAATTATGATAATTTTTGAAACGTGAAAAAAAAAAAATTAACACACAGCCTTCTTATCATTATGATCAAACATAAGTATAGTCACACGGCATAATAAACTTTATTCATACGTATTATAAAAATTGTGAACCCAACAAACGGTAAATCCAATCATTATAATGCTCACCAGAATGAAAAGCATGCGATTTTATTACTATGTATTTCATAGTCTTTTTGAAGATATCATTTGATTTCGCATTACTTTAATGCATATCTGAGTTTTTTAACAGACTGATATGCAAAAAAATTATTATTCCTTCCTATTAAATAATGAATGAGCTTCGATTATCCTGGTTTAGAAATTTGTCAAATCATATTACACATCAAGACTTTGTCTTTGTTCGGACACGTGATAATAACTCGTGATGTAGAAACTACATAGCACCCTCTTCGGGAATGTGCGAGTGATACAACCCCCAAAAAAGGAAGGTAGCCAATCGGAGTGCGTAAATTTTGTTGATCCCGGATCAGCCCGGCACGTGCGCAAAACCTTCTAACCCTAATTAATTTTAACTAAAAACTTAATAAAATTTTTAAAATTTCCTTTTTTGGGGGACGATTAAAGCCATGTACCTTAGGGTTAGTTTTTTTGATGCAGTTGATGGTTTTATTTATCAAGAATCTATATGTAAAGGTACATGGCTTTAATCGATTCCCTTTTTTGGCTGTTAATTGGTCCGACTCAAACGACGGTCCCAAGGCCCGGGCCGGTCTAGTCTTTTTTAGGACGGACCGAAAAGATCAACGGTCTAGTTCAGCGAAAAGTTGATATATGGGATCTTTGCTAGGAAAATCACCCTTCGGGATTTTCCGAACGGGCCAATTCGGAAAGACTTAGACCAGA